TTGTTATATAAATAATATACATTAGCAAGAGCACACATACAATGTGATTTTGAATGGTAAAAGCATTTAGGTTCTCCTTTTTGAAGGGTAGGATTATTTTCGAGTTCTATGACAGACTTTGAGGAGTATTTTCTGATGTAATCAGACTTCTCTCTTCCTTTCACATACACATTATCCACTTTTTCTGTTAAATTCTTGATAATTTCAGCGAACTTATGAACTGGAGTATATCCTTCATTCCAGTGAATACAGCTGTGATTTTGCATCAACCAATTTGCTTGTTTGTATAAATCAGGAGGTAAATGTTCCATATCAAATGGTGGTTGGAAAATATAATGACAAGTTTTATGTCCATCAAATGCTGCCAATTCCTTGGGAATGAATTTGTTTTTCTCTATTTTAAATCCTTGTACATCAATTACTAATAATTGTATCATATTTTCATGTGTGAAAACTTTTCAAACATTCTTTTTCTTTCAATATATTTTTTAATTCTAGCTTAAGACGTATTAAATTCTCTTGGAAATTTAGTAAACGTTGCTGTAGCTCTGTCGACATACTGAAGAAAAAATACAATGCTGCTTTTACTTTATTGATTTTATCCCGCTGGTTTTCATTTCTGGTTTAAAGCATTTTCAGGTATTTCGGTTGATTTTCAGCTGGTTTTTAACATGATTTTGTAGCTAGTTTCAAGCTGATTTTTAGCTGGTTTCAACTGGTTTTAGGCTTGTTTTAGCTGGGTTTAGCTGAATTCGTGCAGGTTTCGAGGTGGTTCAACTATTTTCACTGATTTTCAAGCTGGTTTATAATCTATAGTTGTCTAACGACTTTGGTAAGCGGGTTATAACTGAAAACTTTATCGTGTAATATAAGACAATAAGCTGATGTATCTATCTCTAGGTCCTTGTGTAAATCAAATTCTACTCTCATAACAACGGGGCCTGCTTGTAGAGATTCTTTCTGATGTGAGCAATTTATGTAGGCAATAGGTGCTGTATCTTTAAATTTAACAGGATCGAACAAAGGCTCATCAGATTTTCCATAATAACTTTTATGAAACTGTTTTTACTCAGATCTATATTAAGATCGTTATATGGATATCTCTCAGAGTTCAAAAATACCTTAATATTTCTTAAGTTTATATCATCGAATTCACTCATGTTCGAGTTTAGAGAGTCTCGTTTTTTTGTTTGAAATGCAACAATAACATGTCTGGGTGTTTCCACCCTGGTTGACGTTTTTACAGGCCAGTTGTGTCTATTTGTCTTTAAAAGTTCCGGATATTCAATTAATTCCCAACTACGAAAAGCAATTAAAATATCGCTATTTTTATCAATAATTTTTGTTAAGGATAATTCTTGAGGAATAGCTACTGAAATATGAGGAATGTTCCATGTTAATTTGGTTAATACAATATTTGGGTTCTCAGTTACATCTGTAGTTAATATTGCGTTATTGTCTGTATTGTCTCTAACAATAATAAGTTCCTGTTTTGCATTTGATATAACTTTTTTGTAATCTTCGAAAAATCCCATTAACATTTTTAAAAAGATGCAAGCGTTAAATATTCCTGTATTTTCATCAACTACTCTCTGCTTTGTTGAAGTAGCGGTAGTACTTGTTGGAACCACTTCTGTAGAAAACCAGCCTGCGTTTCTTAGTTTGTTAGATTCGTTTACATTAAAGGAAATATAGCCTTTGAGAGTAGAAGTCACACCTACATCTCTGACAGAGTCTATAGTAACCCCATTTAATTGATATCTTATCTCCTTAAATAAAAAAGCAACTCCATTATTCACAAGTTGGCAGGTTTTTGAAACCGTTCCATCCCATTTTAATAATTTTCCTTCTATATACAAAAAACTTTCACATGGAAGCGTGTATTTATCTATCTCATGAACAGGAATTATAATTTCATCATTGTTTCCTAATTTTGTTGGTAAATAGGGTTCATAAGAATGGATTTCAGAATGAGTAATGGAGTTATCGACGTAAAGTTTTTCTGTAACGTTAAGTATATTCATACTAAAACCTTTAATCCAAGAGATTGAAGAAATAATTTATTTTGTCTTGTTAACCCTTTAAAGTTAGCTCGTCTACTGAACTTTTTTTCTACTGATATAGTTTTATATTCAGATTCAGGAAATTGGGAAATTGAACTCTGATTGTATAAAATTACCATAATCCCAATTTTTTTATGTGTAATCGAAGGGTGACTGTTTCGTTTCGGAAATTAACCAATTCTCCGTTTTGATCTATTATTTTCACTGTTATTTTATCTATAACTTTGACAGTTACTGGAAAATATATAATATTTTGGGGACTTTCTATTATTTTGAATCCTGGTGATACGTTAGGAAAAAATTGATGAATAATGTGAACTGGCACTCCGTTGAGGTAGGAACCTTCAGCAATACTGCAGTCTAAACACAGTGAATTAACTTTTATAATTTCAGCTGGAAAGTCTGAAACTTTGACTGTACTGTCTCCTTTTAGAATTTGATTTCTAAATGCCAGTATTGGACCGATAGTTCCATCTTTGAAAGTAATATCTACAGATGATTTGATTTCTGACTTTAGCGTATTATTATTAGCATTTACCTGAAAAGATATCTGTTTTTTCTGAAACTATTCTTGTAAATAATTGTTTATATCCTCCATCTCATAACTTCCCGAAGGAATTTCAATGAACTCATTTTTGTTTCCATAATATAATTTATTGTTTTTTTCGTCTACGTTGGGAATGGCATTAAATGTTTCAAAATTACTCAGTCCTATTACATATTCAGTTTCAGTATCCAAATAGATAGGAAGATTAAAATCTGCATGAAGCTTCTTACTTCTAGCTGAAAGTGCTATTGTAAATGACATGATGTTTGTTTCTCGAATAACAAAAATTCATTATAACGAGTTCTTATAAAGAAACTGCAAACATAACTGACCACAATTTTCGGTATTGTAGAATTGATATTGATCATGTTTATAAATAATCTTGTTGTTGCTACCATCGCTTAAAAAATACAATATTAGCTCTGTGGGTGGTCTCAAGTTTCCAAAACTGTCAAAATAATTTATATGTTTCTTATTTTTTATATAAGCTGTCCAATGTGTACCTGGTCCATAATGATTGTCCAAATTAATAACCCCACTTTCATACCTATTTATAAGTTTTGGTAACCTGTTTCGCATAAAAACTCCCCTAAAATTAGGAATTTTTAACATTTTAACGTATTTTTTGATATCAATATTTGTAAGAGGCTTGCGTGGTAGCATCTTTATCAGTTTTTTGGCTTTAGGAAGAGACCACATCCTGTTTTGTAAGGTTTCCAATAAAGACCACTTCCCTTTTTACCTAACGCTATGGTCTCCATTTTCCGATTGTGACGTTTTTGTTCCTGCAATTTTTCATTGCCAGCTTTAGCGTCATTAACAGCTTTAGCTATACCAGCAGCTCCCCCACCAAGAGCTCCAAGAGCTGATAAGCCAGCAAATAATGGAATAAGTGGTAAAATACCGCCTGTTTTGGGAATAGGTATAATTCTTTTAGGTTGCTTTATTTCAAAATTTTTAATAATTGATAAAGAATCCTTTGCTGCAGTTTGTAAATTTTTGTATTTTTTTCCAGCGATTCTTTTTTTTGTTTTCCGTACTGCAGATTGAAATGAAATTGCTGGTTTCCTTTTTTGTTTAATTCCTTTCCCTCTCTTTTTCACTCCCATCCCCATTTTGGATTTTGTTTTCATGATACCAGTCACACCCAAAGCTGCAATTTTCTCTCCTAAGCCAGAATCTGAAGACTTGAATCTTTGATATGCTTTTTTTGCTAGAATCCGATCGGCTTTATTTCGATTTTTACTATCTAAATATTTGCTATAGGCTATATCGTGTTCTTTGCAAGCCTCGTCTAAAGGATTTATACCTTTATCTCCTCTAGAGAGTCGTTTACTTAACTTTGTACCAGGACCACAATAATTATATGATGGAATGTGTGCTTCAAAGGGTAAATTGTTGATGAGAGTGTTCAAAGAACCACCTCTTTTCTTGAAATTCAAATTCATATTAGATTAGAAAAAGCTTTATCATTGGTTTACATATAGAACTGTGAGCTTATTGTTCGGGAGAGTCACATCACAGAAAAAAATATTCTTCAGATAATTATCTTTAATTGCGTTCAAAGAAGAGATACATAATTCGAATGTATATTTACCTATATAAATTTACGATATATTAGAATAACAAAGACTAAAAAATTTAGTAAGGGATTTGATACGCAAACGATGTGGATCGAAAAACAATCGCTTTCGTTGCCTATTAAAAACCATGTGATAGACTTAAACAAATTTAGAAAACATGGACAATTATTTGCTGGAGCATCAAAACGTGCATTAATTTGTGGACCAAGCGGATGTGGCAAAACATCTACAATTTTATCTCTTTTGATAGCTGAAAACGGTTTACGCTTCGAAAATGTTTATGTTTATTCAAAGTCTCTTTATCAGAAAAACTATGAATATTTAAGAACATTATTAGATTCAATTAAAGAAATAGATTATTTTGAAACATCAAATGAAGAAGATATAATAGCACCTAATCAGGTTAAACCGAATTGTGTAATTATTTTTGACGATGTAGTATGCACGAATCAAAGTATAATGAGAGACTTTTTCTGTTTTTCAAGACATTTAAAAACAGATTGCTTTCACTTGTCTCAAACATATTCATCAATACCAAAACAATTAATAAGAGATAACACAAATTTATTGATTTTATTTAAACAGGATGATAGAAATTTAAAGCATATTTATGAAGATCATGTAAATACTGATATGACCTTTCAACAATTTAAACAATTATGTAAAATGTGTTGGCAATCAGAATATGATTTTGTAGTAATAGATAAAGATTGTGACATAAAATCCGGTCGTTATAGAAAAAACTTCGATCATTTTATTCACTTTTAAAGGTATATAATATAGGTCTTTATCATTTTTAATCAGTAGAAATCAATTATTTTTGATGGAAACATGAATCAACAAATTGCTATGGAACTTATAAAAGCCAGAAAAGCTGTAAGACGCAAATATCAAGCTCTTAAATCAGATGTAGCATCTATGCAAGTTAGGCAGGAAAGGGGATTAAAACCCATTATTGAACCATTACAAGAACTAATCAAAACTATTAAATCGGAACTACCCACAAAACAAGAACCAAAGTCGTTGTTTTCAACCCCTCAAAAAGACAAATATGACTATTCTTTTCTAAAAGAATCTCCCAAAAGAAGACAAACTAACATTTATCAGAAATATCTGCCCTCTACAATGCCCTCGTTTTTGCAAGGTGATGATGTTTTCGAAATAACGGATAGTGAAGATGTAATTTCAACACCTGAACAAACCACAGAAGATATAACTCAAAATAATCTTGAATTGACACAAACCCCAGCCTATAATGATTATCTTGAAACATTTCACCCTCTAGTTAGATCTTTTGTTGATACATCAATCAAGCGTGATAGAGATTTAGATCACACTCACGGTCTAAAACATGATGCAACCACTGAGAAATGGAAAATCGGAGATACTTTTGACAATTTTGAGCAAGATAATTTCAAAGTTCAAAATATAACCTATAAAGGTACGCCCGGATTATACGAACTCTTATTTTTTTGTCAAGATCCTGTAGGCTATACTTCGAAAGATTTGGAAGATTACATGGATATTCTGAAACGAACTAATGCTTATAGGAGAAATTATGATCCTAATGAACTAGTTCAAGGCACCACAGATTCAAAATATTTGACAATAATTAAACCCTATTTAATAAGCAAAAAGATTATTAAATCAATTATCAAGCCTAGATTTTCTAGCGTTTCTAGCTTAGATAGACCAAAACCACCACAAACTAGAAAAAGAACGCTTATTAAATCTCAAGAAGGATCAGGAATGTTGAATTATCTAATAAAAAAATTGATTTTGTGTATTATGACAATATTAACGAGATAGTGGAAAGGTTGAAATTATTATTTTCTTCCCAAATGGCTGGTCATACCGGGCATCAAAATGAAATCGTTTCTATTTTGGAAGAACTACGAGAAGCTAAGATAATTGAATAAAAGTCCATTTTCTCTACTTAAACCAATCAAATTGAAAATGACGCTTGACAAGTTCGGATCACACATTTTAAGCAAATACGGAAAAGAATCATCGACAAATAATGACAACTCTCTCAACCTAGTTAATATTTCAAACGTTAAATTGTATTACACGGTGGTTTTACCATTTGTTGGCAAACATGATCCAAGTGCAAAAAATTTCCTCTTAGCAGGGGAGACTAATAGGACATCAGATAGATTTCCATTTGAATCTGGAAATATACTAGTTGGAGAATATCCTAGAAAAGACATAACTTTTCTGGTAAATGGGAAAACTGGAAAACTAGAGGGTCGAGAGTTGAAAAAGGGAGACTTATTAGCATTTAGAAGGGACGTTTCTAGCAAGGTGACTGAATTTTATGGTGAATTATTGATAAAATGCCCTGTTATCGTTGAATAATAACCATTAAAATGACAAAGATAAAGGAGGATGTTGTTGATGAATTACATAAACCAGCCAGAAAATTATTTAAACGGCGAAAAGTAATAATTAAAGGTCTTAATGATTTATGGCAAGCTGATCTAGTAGAAATGCAACCTTATGCAAAGTTTACCAAGGGGTATAGATACATTCTTGTTGTAATAGACACATTTTCAAAATATGTTTGGGCGCTCCCTGTGAAATCCAAAACTGTTAAAAATGTAGCAGAAGCCATGAAAAAAATTTTAAGTGATGCAAATACTCCCCCTAAGAATCTGCAATCGGATAGAGGATCTGAATTTATTGGTGCAATTTTTCAAAATCTTATGAAAGAATACAATATCAATCACTATAGTACATTTTCAAATTTAAAGGCGAGTATTGTAGAAAGGGTAAACAGAACATTGAAAAAAAAAAATGTGGAAACAATTTAGTATGCAAGGAAACTATAAGTGGCTAGATATTTTGCAACAAATAGTAAATGATTACAATAATACCAAACATTCTACAACAAACTTAAAACCTATCAAAGTTAACAGAAAAAATGAAAAAATTATTTTAAAAAATGTTTATAAAGGAATAAAAGTTGTTGATTCTAGAAGCCCGAAATTTAAAATTGGTGATTCTGTAAGGATAAGTAAATATCGGGAATTATTTTCCAAAGGATACACGCCTAACTGGTCAAACGAAATATTTTCAATTAAAAAAATTAATTTGACTAACCCTTCCACATACATTTTAGAGGATCAACAAAAAAATGAAATTCAAGGTGGTTTCTATCAAGAAGAATTGCAAAAAGCGAAACATCCAGACATATATTTAATTGAGAAGGTACTTCGACGTAAAGGAAACCAAGTCTATGTAAAATGGCTTGGGCTGGATAAATCTTTTAATTCTTGGATATCAAAATCAAATGTATTATAGATCTCTTTTAATAAAAACACTTTTTTTAAACACCTTTTTTTATTGTCAAGTATACACAATATTATAACTCAAAATATAAAAAATATCATATCGAGGGTATCTTCTTCAATTATTGTGAATTTTTCCTCCACAAAAACTTTTTCCTTACTTTCTTTGAAAATTATTGAAAAAACTTCCTTTCTACAAAGTGGACAAGAGGATTTTTCCTTCATCCATTCTGTCAAACATTTTGAACAAAATTCGTGATTACATGATTCGGGCATACAAATTTCTTCTTTTTTCATTACATCTAAGCAAATACTGCAATCTTTTTCCATTCGAATTTTTTTCACCAGTTTTTTATTAAGTAACTTGTATTTTCGTTTTACCATTTCAAGTACGTAGGTATTCGCTAAAACCAAATAATGTCGATTCATGATTTTATAGTTTAATTTATATCTTGGTAAATAGAGGGAGAGGGTGGTGGGAATTAATAACTTTTAATGAATTCAACATTATTTTTTGGTTCAAGTTCGTTCGATAACTTTTGGCTTTTCCTGGAATAACCAGGTAAATAATTATGGTACATAGAAACAATATAAGTAATGTATTTTTGTTTAAACTGTGTTTTAGATGATTTTTATGTGTGATATCTATAATTGTAGTTTTCTTTTAAGCAATAATTCGATAAAAAATTTGATTCGTGAAAATTATTTTTTATCGTAATGAGATCCGGATTATTGAATATTAAAACACATACATATAGTCAATTAAATGATGAATATATTTTTTTTTTTTAAATTTAAAGTAGAACTATATAAAATATTCGTATAAGACCTAAAAAGCACTTAATTGAAATTAGAAATTCTAACACAAATAATAATACTACATAATAACTAATAATAATAATGATAATAATAATACCTAATAATAATAATAATAGTAATAATAACAATAATAATAATAATAATAATAATAATAATAATAATAATAATAATAATTTGGATTTTCTTTACCACCACAGCAATAAACAACTAACTGTGTGATATTGAAAGAATAATAATAATAATAATAATGAAGAAACAAAAAATATAACGAAACTCAAAAAACAGGCTTTTAACGAGTTTAGAAGAAGTCCTACTACTGAAAACCTAGTAAAATTTAAAAAAATTAGAGCAACCGCAAGAAGAACCATACTTAAAAACAAAAGAGATACCTGGAATCAGTACACCAAAACAATCACGCCAGATACGGAAATAAAAACTGTGTGGAAGAAGGTGAAAGCAGTATCGGGTATTTACACAAGTAACCCAATTACCTCTATACAAACAGAAACCGGATCCATAACCACCGACCCTGTAGAAATAGTAAACATAATAGCAACACACTTTGAAAGAGTCAGTAGCAGCAACAATTATGATCCAAGCTTTTTACACATAAAAAACAATGTAGAAATAAATATAGATTTTACCACAGAAAATGACCTAGAATATAATTTGCCTTTCAGTAAGAAAGAGCTTGATGAGGTACTCCAGCAGTCTAAAGCAGGTGCTCCCGGTCCAGACACAATTTCCAACGATATGATGAAAAATCTAACACCTGAAATGAAAGAGATATTGTTAAAATTTTACAATACAAACTATGGGATGAAAATACTTACCCGGAATCCTGGAAAGAGGCTCTGGTAGTACCTATAACTAAACCTAATAAAGATAGACTGACACCATCCAGCTTAAGACCTATTAGTCTTACCTGCTGTATGGGCAAACTCTTTGAAAAGATGATAAACAACAGATTGCAGTATTATCTAGAAGTCAATAACTTATTAGTTCCCTACCAAGCAGGGTATAGAAAGAAGCGATCAACAGTAGATCATTTAGTATTACTAGAACATTCAATCCAAGAAGCATTTCGAAAAAGGGAACACTTAGTGGCTACTTTCTTTGACATAAAAGGAGCCTTCGATATGACATGGCGCTATGGAATTCTCGATAAACTGTCTAAGTTTGGACTAAAAGGAAGATTGCCGTTGATGATAAAATCCTTTCTTGAAAACAGAAATTTCAAAGTAAGAGTTGGCAAGGAATTGTCATCAACTCGATCACTAGAGAATGGAGTCCCGCAAGGATCTACGCTTAGCTGCACACTCTTTGCGATTGCCATAAACGAAATTTGTAAAGATGTCAATCAGGAAATCAAGAAATGCATCTACGTTGATGATTTGGCAATCTTCTGTAGTGCAAAGAAGGTGGGAGACATTACACGCATATTACAACCGGCAATAAACACCATAATCAAGAATGGCGAAAAAGTTGGTTTCAAGTTCTCCAAAGAGAAAACTAAATGTGTGCATTTCTGCCGACTCAGAAAACCTCATTACGACCCAATGCTGTATTTAAATGATAATATTATTGAGTATGTTGATAACTTTAAGTTCTTGGGATTAACGTTCGACAACAAACTTACCTGGTGCGAACACATTAATCGAATCAAAACAAAATGCCGGAAATCTCTTAATATTCTGAAAGTCCTAGCGCATACTAAATGGGGAGCTGATACAAAAAGTCTTCTCATGATATATAAATCTCTAATGTTGTCCAAAATAGATTACGGAAGTATAGCTTACTCCTCAGCAAGAAAAAGTCACTTAGCAGTACTTGACAGAATTCAAAATATAGGACTACGCTATTGTTTAAATGCCTTTCCAACTACCCCTGTCCAAAGTCTTTATTGTGAATCTGCTATAATGCCTCTAGAACAAAGAAGAAAAATCCTAATGACAACTTACCTAACAGGTGTCAAATCTTATCCCAAAAATCCGAACAACGAATTCTTATTTCCTGACGAAAACCAATATTCTAATAGAAACACCATTACTCGTCCTCTTGCAGTGCGCTATCTAGAATACTTGGGGAAAATCGGTGTCGAACTCCCTGACATACTTGTTGATGATCGAAATGACGCCCAAGTAGCAAATAACGGTACCATGAAAAGAATAGACTTTATAAACAATCTGAAAGGCAAAATTAGAGTTGAGTGGCAGGATATATGGAGCGAAACAGATACGTTATTTCGTAGAATAGAACCAACAATTAAACAGAAATATGAATCGACAAGTTCGAATAAACTCGAAACGGTAAAAGCATTTAGACTCCGTACAGGACATACAAATCTAACACACCAACATCTTCTTAAAGGAGAACAAGCACCAACATGTGATCAGTGTAATGTAACTCTCTCAATTAGTCATATCATTAGTGAATGTCCTGTTTTCAATGCTCAAAGACAACTCTA